CTATTCTCTGGTGCTCAGCCTTCTTTATGGTCCAACTCTCACATCCTTACATGACTACTAGAAAAACCAGAGCTTTGACTAGATGTATCTTTGTTGGCAAGGTAATGTCTCTGGTTTTGAATATGCTGTCTAGGTTGGCCATAGCTTTTCTTCCAGGCAGCAAGAGTCCTTCAATTTCATGGCTGCAGTCACCATCTGCAGTGATTTTGGAGCCCCACAAATAAAGTCTTTCACTGTTTCCATTGTTTCCTCATTTATTTGCCATGAAATAATGGGACAGGATGCCATGATTTTAGTTTTCTGAATGTTTAGTTTTAAGCCAACTTTTTCACTCTCCTCTTTCACTTTCATCAAGAAGCTCCTCAGTTCCTCTTCACTTTCTGCCATAAGGGTGGTGTTATCTGCATATTTGTGGTTTTTTATATTTCTTCCTGCAATCTTGATTCCAGCTTGTGCTTCATCCAGCCCAGCATTTTGCATGATGTACTCTGCATATAGGGCTTCCCTGATAGCTCAGTTGGTAAAGAATCCACCTGCAATGCAGGAGACCCCAGTTTGATACTGGGTCGGGAAGATCTGCTAGAGAAGGGATAGGCTACCTACTCCAGTATTCTTGGGCTTCCCTTTTGGCTCATCTAGTAAATAATCTGTCTGCAATGCAGGAGACCTGGGTTTGATTCCTGTGTTGCAAAGATCCCCTGGAGAAGGGAAAGGCTACCCACTCCAGTATTCTGGCCTAGAGAATTCCATGGACAGTCCATGGGGTCACAGAGAGTCAGACATGACTGAGCCACTTTCACTATTCACTCTGCATATAAGTTAAAAGAGTAAGGTGAAAATATATAGCTTTGACGTACTCTTTTCCCAATTTGGAACCAGTCTGTTGTTCCATGTCTGGTTCTGATTGTTGCCTCTTGACCTGCATACAGGTTTCTCAGGAGGCAGGTCACCTGTTCATCAACAGATGTTGGCACTTTGATCTCTGGTTCCTCTGCCTTTTCTAAATCCAGCTTGTACATCTGGAAGTTCTAGGATTGCATACTGTTGAAGCCTAGCTTGGAAAATGTTGAGTGTTACATTGCTAGCATGTGCTATTGTGCAGTACTTTGAACATTCTTTGGCATTGCCTTTCTTTGGCATTGCCTACTTACAAAAGTTAACATGCAATAACATATCAGTATATAAGCTTGGAAAGAGACAATGGCAGCTGGAGGACATTTTGAGTAATCATTTTATTATTCAGAAGTGCACTCTGCTTATCTGAGCTTATCAACTAGAATAGACAGGAACTGGCCCTCTTAACGCGAAGTCACAGAAGTTGAAAGGCATCGTTGATTCATTCATCCAACCTGACTGGTTACAATGTAGCAGACCAAGTTCTCATCTAGATCACTGCTCAAAAAACTGAAATTTCTCATTCTTTTCCCCTCCCTCACTCTCCTTCTCCAACCCCAGAATCTGTACCCTCTTCCCAAATGAGGGGAATTTCACACTTGATGATCTTGGTAGAAGGCAGACACCTTCCTCCATTAGACAGAAAACCTTGCTTCCTAAATATTCCTGCAGGTAGAAAGAGGCTGAGGCCCCACCAAGCAGGTTACCACATGCTGGACTCTTACTTAGGACATGGTGCCACAGAGAGACGGGAACCGCACCGGATGCTTTAGGCACACGGCATGCATGGCAGAGGCAGCTGTGTGTCGTCCAGGCGTCAGGAGCAGCAGAGAGCTGGTCTAGTCACGGGGTCCATTGTCCAGCATCAGGGCTGACAGCGCGTGAACAGTGGTGTCTGTGCTCACCTGCGGGGAAGGGGTTCCTGTGCAGGACCCGACCTCACCCGGGTGGGGTGAGGATTCTGTTCCCAGCTGTGCCTCAGGGCTGGTCAGCGGTTTTCCCTGAAATAAACCCAAACCGGCAAGTGTGCCTCTCTTTGTTCCTTTTAGAACAATTTGAAATCTTTTTTTCCCCACCCAGAACTACCTAAGAATACCATGTAGCGGAATCTCAGAGAGCAAGGATTCAGAGACTTTTCCTTCTGCTTTATTACGATTGATGTGCAATATTGAGTCAGTTTATGGTGTGCAATTGTTGATTTGATACACTTCTGTACTGCAAAATAGTCACCACCATAGCTTTATCTGACAACTGAATCATGTCACATCATTAGCTCTTCTGCATGTGTGGAGAAAATTTAGATCTACTCTCTTAGCAACTCAGAGACTCTTTATGGTGAGCAGATAATCACTTCCTAAATTTTCAGCCTGGCGATAGCACACAGCAGAAACATGTAACTTGCACCAAATGTTTCGTCTTTTTCCTCTCAGGAAAAAAAGATTTCAATGTGTGTTTAAGACCCCTCCCCACCTTAATCATTCTCTGCTCATTAACGTCAATGGATCCCAGTCTGCTCAGGACTGCTTGTAGAGATTGTTACAAAATACTCAGGACTCTCCCCAGATCCACCATCTAGAATGTAGGGCACAGAGTCCGGGAATCTATTATGAACAAGCCGTACAGCGGAGGCTGGTGCACAGCTAAGTGGGAATCCAGATCTGTGTTCTTGCTCTGAAATGTGTGATCTGAAGATCAGCACCAACCGTGTTATAAGTCTATTCCAGCTCTTCTGTCTCTAGCAGGAGTGCAGGTGGACATTCCTTCATGTCCTTCAGGACCCCTTTCCACGTGCCATCTAGACGCGGTGTCAGAATGGTGGCGTCTCTCAGGTGTGTGGTCTGATCAGTTCCCATAGTGCGGGGGATTCAGGATTCAGTCCTCGTCCTTCTGCTTCTGTAGCCAATTCTCCCCTCATCTGTGACCTCATCTGTTCTCAAGCCTTTAAACATCAGTTATATAGCGTCACCTCTTCCATCTATTTCTCCAGTCGAGTCATCTCACCTAAATCCTAGACTAGTAAACCCAACTCAGTTGCCACTTTCCTAAACCAAATGCTGATGGTGATGCCTCCTCAAACATGCTCTTTCCGGAGTCCCCTCATTTCCACAGTAGGCACCCCACATGCTTACTTGCAAATCTCAAATTTTGCGGTCCTCCTTCACTCTTTCTCATAACTCAGATTTAATCCACTAGGAAGTGCTGTAAATGTACTTTCAGAATAGATCAAGAATACACTCACTCACCATCATCTTCCTTTCTCACACCCTGGACAAGCACCAGCATCCCCACCTGGACCCTGCGCTGTTTCCTACAGGCTCCTCTACGCCTCCCTCACCCTTCACCTCCTGACTCCGCACAGCAGCCTGACTGATGCTTCTAGAGAGCAGTCACACCAGGTCCTCCTCTGTTCATAACATCCTATAACTCCATAGCTTACTGAGATAAAATCAACACCCTTCTCACATCCGGGAGGCCCACAGGATCTGGCCGGACATGCGATCTCAGGGCAATCCCTTTTCCTTCAGCCACAGCTGCCTCCTGGCTCTCTCTTGAACCCAGACACTTTCCTGCCCTTGTGCATCTGTACTGGAGGCTCCACAGCCTGGAGAGAACCTCCCCTAGATGTCCTTGTGGACATTCCTTCATGTTCTTCACATCTTTACTTAAGGGTCACCTTTTCAAAGAGGCCCACTGTTCACCTTAGTACTACAGCCACCTTCCCTTCCCCACACACTTAAAGTCTGGGTCACTGCACTCAGAGCACTTAACAACCTGTAAGGGAAACACTTCCCTCACTTACTAGGCTCATAGTACATTCTCTGCCCCTTCTCCCTAGAACACACTGCACGTATGGACAAGGTTTGTCTATTGCTAGTTCTGTGAGTTCTCCTAGATGCAAAAATATTGTGTCATGTCTCCATCACACAACGAATATCAGTTGAATAAATGGTCAATGTAAAGTGCTTTCCTACTCTAGAGATAGTCTTTATTGATGTGGTCTCATGCCACATGCTGTCTCGTGGCAGTTACAGCACAACATCCATTCGCACTGACCTCAATGATGCCTGCATTTTACTCACAAAGGCTGATCTCCCTTCCCTCCCACACCAATCAACCTGCACACCACACACAAGGCTCTTTATCTCTTCAGAAAGGAAGATCCTTCGCTTCCGGCTCCTATATTCAACCTGCTGTGATTTTATTAGGCTCTGCTCTCTAAACCCATGAGTTGAGATGGGAGCCAACAGTAGTCTTAGAAGATGCAAGGGCAGAAGAGGGGGCAGATTGCAGAGATGAGAGAAATCCAGCAAGGATTAAGTCAAGATATGAAACTATTGGGTCCCTCCTCTTTGCAAGTTCCAGCATGTGGTTCCTTTAAAAAGATGGAGAAAAGTTGGAAAGAAGAATCCAGCAAAATCTCTAGAAGGAGGGCAAGAGCTGGATGCCTCTGAAATTTCTCTCTTGGAACCACTGAGAATCCTGTGTGCACAGACCCCTTGGACTTGTGTGGGGACAATGACAGGCAAGGTGACCCCTGCTGCTGTCAGAGATGGGGTCACCCAGAGAAGAATGAGACCAGGACTCTACACACGAAGAAAACAGTTATTATACTACCACCGCTAATAGCAATAACTAAATAAGCAAAATATAAACACATTAAAAAAAAAGGCAGGCACTAAGGATTGGTCCAAGGCCTAATCCTAGGCTGACTGTTTAAGAAACGCACCCTGCCCATGGTCCTGGACACACAACAAGGCCCAGGTGACTTCTGAGTCCATGATCACAGGTCCTTGGTGGGACAAGGATTTACTGAAGGGACAAGGACAAAGGAATGGAGAAGAGACCCAGCTCAGGAGTGACCACGGGCAGTGCATGGGCAGTCCAGTGCATGCCCACCAGGCCCTGATCACTGACTGGGCACAGGCCCTGTCCACACTCAGCTCCTCACAGCCTCCTCCTGTCCCTCCTGCAGCTGACTCAGCACAGCAAACATGTGGATTGACTGGAAGGTTCTCAGTGTTTCAATTTATTTCCTCTTTCAAACTTTAGGAATCATCACTTTTACTATCTGATCCCCTTTCATGGCACTAATTAGAAAAAACAAATTCATATATACAGATTTTATTTTCAGTAAGGAAATATGACATCATTACTCAGTGCATATGAAGCAGACACGGATTGAATGGCCCAGCCCCGTCTCTGCTGGGGCAGGACAGTGGATGAGGGAGGAGAACACAGGTCAGGGTGGGGAGAGGCCGTGGTTGGCAGGGTTGGCCAGTCTCCCCACCTCCTCACATGCTAATAGGAACACAGACACATTCAGATGCAGCTGCAGATAGAGGGGTCCTGGGATCTGACGTCACAAAGTGGGACTGAGCATCACTCAGTCCCCAAAGGCAGCTGTCTCACACTGTGAGAGAAAAGAATCAGGAACCAGTTCAGGTCGGTCATATAAGGGCTGGCATTCTCCACAGCCCCCCACACACTCACATGTCCCACTCAAAGATCCCTGCTGCCCAATGTGTCCCCTCTGCCCCAATCCCCCTTCCAATCTAGACCCTCCAGAATCTCACCTTTAGGAATCGTGAGAGACACATCAGAGCTCTGGGCACTGTCATTGCCTAGTGGAGAACAAGACCAAGACATGTTTAGAACCCACAGGACAGAAACTAGAGAAGGAACTTTGAGGAGAATGAGCCCCCCATGGCCTCCTGTCTGCACCCTCACAAGGGTCTCAGGAATCACCCCCTTCATACTTACTTGCAGCCTGGGTGTAGATCCGTCCTTTTTCACCTGTGAGAAGAAAGTATCACATGAGAGGCCAGGGAGAAGGCTGAGTCATGAGACCCAGAGAAACCCCTAGTCCTGGACCCCAGAAAACTTTTTGGAACTGTGGTCAAAACTCATGATAGGATCTGGAACATAGAGAAGGGAAATGTGTAAGGACTGGGCCACCTGCCCTCCTGGAGGTCTGTCCTCAACAAGGATCTCCCTCTGACCTTCAAGTGCTGGAAATCTGGTCCCCAACAGGAATTAGGAAGGTGAAAAATTTCTCTTTCATTTTCATACATGCTTTAGAGAAGCAAAATGTTAGCATCAACTTCATACTCCGTGCGTGTGTGGAGCATACTTTCCAGTAACCAGGCAGGTAAAGTTCTACCTGGGCTTGAAACCCCCAGTGAGACAGGAAAACTCAGATCCCTCCCTCCCTTCCCTACCTGAATGCTTCTTCCTCCAGATCACAACTCCAGCCACCATAGCCACCACGAGGAGAACCAGGCCAACAATGATGCCCACGGTGAGGAAGGAGGTCTGAGGAGGATCTGTGGAGGAAAGGGAAGGGTCCCTGACCTCAGGTTTGAGTCCTGACCTTGCTGAACTGAGTCCTGAAGGGCTCCTGCTTTATCTGAGAGGAAGCTCCATCCCATCTCCCTCCTTACCCCATCTTAGGGTGAGGGGCTCCGGAAGCCCCTCGTGCTGCACACGGCACGTGTATCTCTGCTCCGCTCCAGAAGGCACCACCAGGGCCGCCCACTTCTGGAAGGTTCCGTCTCCTGAAGGCCTGGTCTCCACAAGCTCCATGTCCTGGGTCTGGTCCTCCCCACTGCGCTGCCAGGTCAGTGAGATCTCCTCAGGGTAGAAGCCCAGGGCCCAGCACCTCAGGGTGACCTCACGGTCAGAGATGGGGTGATGGGTCACATGTGCCTTTGGAGGGTCTGAGGAAGAATCAGAAAATTTACAGTTTGTGTTACCTACATGGGTCACTGAAGCAGCATCTTGTGACCATCCTGAGAAAGGACAGAACACTGATTTTTTTCCCCAGCTTTACTGACGTACACTTAACAAAAACTGTACACATTTAAAGTGTACTACATGTTGCTTTGATATATATGTACACTGTGAAGGTAATTAATATATTCATCAACTTACCTTATGTGTGTGTCCGTTTGACAGGGGTGATGAGAATGATTAAGATCAATTTTATTATTTTTTTTTTCTTCCATTTATTTTTATTTGTTGGAGGCTAATTACTTTACAACATTGCAGTGGTTTTTGTCATACATTGAAATGAATTAGCCATGGATTTACATGTATTCCCCATCCTGGTCCCCCCTCCCACCTCCCTCTCCACCCCATCCCTCTGGGTCTTCCCAGTGCACCAGGCCTGAGCACTTGTCTCATGCATCCAACCTGGGCTGGTGATAAGATCAATTTTAAAGTATACAATACAGGATTATTATTAACTATAGTCACCAGGCTGTACATCAGATCCCCAGATGTATTATGAACTTTTTTACCGTCTGAGCTATGGAACATTCAAGACCATGGTGTTGAAAAAAGCAGCACAAGAGCTAGATGACAGCCTCAAATGAGAGATCAGGGATGATCTATATTAGTCCTTGGAAATTTCTAGAATGAGAGACTAGGATAGGAGCTCTAATAATGTGAGGGGGAGATTACAGACTGGTGGAGGCTGAATGACTCAGAAAAGCTGGAGTCAGGCCTCCTTAGATGCTCTCAGGGTGAGAACATGTCTTGAGAGAGAAAGTCATGGATCACAAAATGGTGGCCAAGGTCAAAGGGCACCGCTGACCAGCTATTTCAGGGATGGTTTGTTTCCTGCTTCTTCCTCAAAGACACTGGATTCTTTAATTGTCCTTCAGAGCAGTAGGGCCACTGGTGACTGTCTTGTACAGAATATGAAAACCTGGGCGGATCCCTCCCTCTCCTGACAAGAACCTGGGGCGCTGTTTCCCCAGGGACCCCATTTTCCTCTCCTCGTGGGAAGCCAGCTCCAGCCCGAGGGGAGATCAGGGAGGCCCCGCGCCCCTCGTACCTGCGCGCAGCAGCGTGTCCTTCCCGTGCCCCAGGTATCTGTGGAGCCACTCCACGCAGCGGCCCTCCAGGTAGTTTCTGTCGTGATCCGCCTCACCGCCTTGCTCAAACTTGCGCTTGGAGATCTGAGCCGCCGTGTCCGCCGCGGTCCAGGAGCGCAGGTCCTCGTTCAGGGCGAGGTAATCTCTGCCGTCGTAGGCGTACTGCGAGAACCCGCGGAGGAGGCGCCCGTCCGGCCCCACGTCGCAGCCGTACATCTCCTGGACGGTGTGAGACCCTGACCCGCCCCGACCACCCGCAGTGATTAAACCCAAACTGAAAATGAAACCGGGTCAAGCCCCGCCGGCTCCTCCCGGGTCGGGGTGCCGGGTGTGTTCCGTAGTGTTGGGGTGACCCTCGGACCCGCAGACTCGGGCGACCCCGCCGGTCCCTGGGGGTGGGGGTCGTGACCCAGAACCGGGCCCGCGTCGCTCACCGGCCTTGCTCTGGTTGTAGTAGCCGCGCAGGTTGTTCAGGTTCACTCGGAAAATCTGTGCGTGGCCCTTTTGTTTCTGAGTCTCCCCATCCCAATACTCGGGCCCCTCCTTCTCTATCCATGGCGCCCTCGGTTCTTTCCTCGGATTCGGGGCGTCGCTGTCGAACCGCACGAACTGCGTGTCGTCCACGTAGCCGACGGCGATGAAGCGGGGCTCCCCGAGGCCGGGCCGGGACACGGCGGTGTAGAAATACCTCATGGAGTGGGAGCCTGGGGGCGGGGAGGCGTGAGACTCGGGCCGACCTCCTCCCGGCGCGGGTCCCGGGTCCCAGGTGATGGGGTCGGGAGGGCGGAGGGGGCGGAGGGCCAGTGAGATAGAAGAGGTCGAAAACCGGCCCGATCTTCGAAAGCGGTAGAAAAGAGGGGTCGGGAAGCAAGGGAGGGACAGGCCGGGACCCGGGAGGCGGCGGGTCTGGGCAGGGGCGTCGGGGTCGCTCCGTCCCTGGGTTGCTGCCCCCCAGACTCCCGGGTGGTCCCCTCGCCCCTCCCCGCAGAGGCCGTTCCCTCCCGACCCCGCACTCACCAGCCCGGGTCTCGGTCAGGACCAGAGTCCCCGAAAGGAGCAGGAGAAAGGTTCGCGGCCCCATAACTCGCATCCTCTGGGTCTAGGAAGAAGCAGCCTGGCCGGGTCGGTGGAGACTTTATAACCGGGATCCGCAAAGACGCTGATTGGTTTTTCTAGAAACCGGGCACCCAGTGGCAGTGAGAACTGGGGCCGCATCACGAGTGTCCAGGCAGCAGGGCTAAACACAGGTTGTGAGAGAGAAAGTGAAACTCGGGGAGAAGGGGAATCCCCAACTGGGAGCGTCCCAGCCCCTGACTCCGCCCTTGACCCAGAGATCCAGAGCGGCTTGCCCTCCAGGGACCTGGGACTTTGCCCTGATCCCTCCCCTCCTGTTAGGTAGAATGTTCAAACTACCCAATAATTGCACTCATCTGGCACGCTAGCAAAGTAATGCTTAAAATTTTCCAAACCAGGCTTCAGCAGAACCTGAACCCTTAACTTCCAGATGTTCAAGCTGGATTTAGAAGATCCAGAGGAGCCAGAGATCAAAGTGCCAACCTCCCCTGGATCATGGAATAATCAAGAGAGAAAACATCTACTTCTGCTTTATGGACTATGCCAAAGCCTTTGTGTGGGTCAAAACAAATAGTGTAAAATTCTTCAAGAGATGGGAATACCAGACCACCTGACCTGCCTTCTTGAGAAAACTGTGCAGGTCAAGAAGCTACAGTTAGAACTGGACTTAGAACAAAAGACTGGTTCCACATTGGGAAAGGAGTACATCAAGGCTGTATATTGTCACCCTGCTATACTCTATACTGTCACCCTACATTTAACTTACATGTAGAGTACATCATGTGACATGCTGGGCTGGATAAAGCTCAAGCTGGAATAAAGATGGCCCAGAGAAATATCAATGACCTCAGAATGCAGATGACACCACCCTTATGGCAGAAAGCAAAAAGGAGCTAAAGAGCCTCTTGATGAAAGTGTAAGAGAAGAGGGAAAAAGTTGGCTTCAAGCTCAACATTCAGAAAACTAAGATCATGGCATCTGGTCCCATCACTTCATGACAAATAGATGGGGAAACAAAAGACACAGTGACAGACTTTATTTTCTTGGACTCCAAAATCACTGCAGATGGTGACTGCAGCCATGAAATGAAAAGATGCTGGCTACTTGGAAGAAAAGCTACAACCAACCTAGACAACATATTAAAAAGCAGAGACATTATTTTGCCAACAAAGGTCCATCTAATCAAAGCTATGTTTTTTCCAGTAGTCAGGTATGGATATAACAGATGGACTGTAAAGAAAGCTGGGCACTGAAGAATTGATGCTTTTGAACTTTGGTGTTGAAGACTGTTGAGAGTCCCTTGGACTGCAAGGAGATCAAACCAGGAAATCTGAAAGGAAATCAGTCCTGAATATTCATTGGAAGGAGTGATGCTGAAGCTGAAGCTCCAGTACTTTGGCCACCTGATGTAAAGAACTGACTCATTGAAGAAGACCCCTATGCTGGGCAAGATTGAAGGCAGGAGGAGAAGGGGATGACAGAGGATGAGATGGCTGGATGACATCACTGACTCGATGGACATGAGCCTGAGCAAGCTCCAGGAGATGGTGATGGACAGGGAGGCCTGGTGTGCTGCAGTCCATGGGGCCACAAAGAGTCGGACATGACTGAGCGACTGAACTGAACTGAACTCCCCTCTGAGAGCTCTTTGTCTCCCTGTCTCCCTGAGTCCTAGCTCTGGGGCTGTTTGCGATTTTGATTAACATATCTACACAATCTGACAAATTAGTGAGGACCCTAAGGATAGTATTATGTGACCACTTCTATGCATATTTTCCATACTACAAATAATACACTTTAAAGATTATTGTTTTTTTATTTAGAATAATATTAATAGAAAGAAAGTTTAGTCGCTCAGTCGTGTCCGACTCTTTGCGACCCCATGGACTCTAGCCTACCAGGCTCCTCTGTCCATGGGATTTTCCAGGCAAGAGTACAGGAGTGGGTTGCCATTTCCTTTTCCAGAGGATCTTCCCAACCCGGTGATTGAACAAGGGTCTCCCACATTGTAGGCAGATGCTTTACCGTCTGAGCCACCAGGAAAGTCCTAAAGGCTGGCTATTAACAACCCATGTGTTTAATATGAATAACTAGTTCCCAGAATAAACAGGGTAGTGAGAAGCATAGAGCTTTTTACATTTTTTCAAGTATCTTTCTTGTGTCTTTCACTAGAAAACCACTGGTTTTTCAGGTTTGCGTCTGCATTGAATCTGTTATTTTGATTGAAGTCTATGAAAGTGAAAAAACCCACACATAGGTAGGAGTAGTGTTTTTTAATAATCTTTTCAGATAATTGTGGATGTTCATCTTGGATACAAAAGTAAAACTATACAAGTTGTAGTTTCTCAAAGGTTTTTTTCTGCAGTGAACCAGAAACAATATCATTGACTATTTTCTATTCTGTTACATTAAAATCCATAAGCCTATTTTGCTCATTGAACATCTCTTGTACTAATACAAGATTTTTACAAAGTAATATATTGTTTCACTAAATTATACAGATCTTTATGCTCATTCCTTCTTTCAAGAACAGTTGTTTTCCATGAAAAAGAGGGTAGTTCAGAGCACACAGAATTTTTTCTTGGGCCATAAGACTTTGAAATGTAGTAGAAGTGCTTGAAGTATACTTTCCATGTTATCACAGAAGATACTTTTATAATGTGTATTTAAGAATGATAATTAGGAAACAAGCATTTTTATTTACTTTATTTTTAAATTTATTTTATTAAAGGATATTTGATTTATAATGTTAATTTGTGCTGTACAGCAAAGTGATTCACTTTTACATGTGTATATATATATTTTTTCATATTTTTTTCCATTTTGGTTTATTAAGGACAGATAAGAATTTTAATGTGTCATTCTGGATGTTTTAAAGCAAACCTGATTATTGGTTTTCTTTTTTTCTACAAGAAAGGTTTGGTGAAAATAATTACTAATGCAGTTTGCTACCATAGTCCGTTACTGCTAAGCGATACATCAAAGCAAATGTCAACATAGTGAGAAGTCAAATAATATCTGAGTGATGCTATGAAAGTAGCTTTCACCTCAGGGATCTCATGAAAGGGTCTCAGTGACATCAAGTGTTCCACAGGCCACACTCTGAGAACTGCTGTTCTGAATGAACCAGGGCGTCTCCCAACTGATATCTGCCTTTGCCTCCTCTTCATTTTGGAAAATGCTTTTTCCTGAGCTGGACTCCCTACCTCCCGAAACGTAACTGAGGGCCCTGCCCCTGGGCTCCTCTAGGAGAGAACTCAGCCCCTAGAAAGTGATGCCAGAGAGTGTCCTCAGTCTGGGAAGGGAGGTGGGGGGACAGGTGTTTCCCCTTTGGAACTGGGGACAGTTTGTACCTAAAGGCGCCAGACTCACTCATAACCTACTTTGATTTTGTTACACACCGGCTTAATATGTATTCATATCCCAGACAGAAATCTGACGTAGTGTCTAAGAAAAATAATATTGGCCCTTTCATCTCATATGGAGGAGAAGGCGATGGCAACCCACTCCAGTACTCTTGCCTGGAAAATCCCATGGACGGAGAAGCCTGGTAGGCTGCAGTCCATGCGGTCGTGAAGAGTCAGACACGACTGAGTGACTTCACTTTCATTTTTCACTTTCATGCATTGGAGAAGGCAAGGGCAACCCACTCCAGTGTTCTTGCCTTGAGAATCCCAGGGACGGGGGAGCCTGGTGGGCTGCCGTCTATGGGGTTGCACAGAGTCAGACCCAACTGAAGCGACTTAGCAGCAGCAGCAGCATCTCACGTGGTCTAATGCACTTGATTTGAGGCCCACAAATCATAAAGAGCAGTCCATTCCAACAGAACATTTGTGGTGAAAGAATTGTTTTATGTCTATTCTGTCCAGTTAGGTAGCCAGTAGCTACATGAGGCTACTTAGCACCTTAAAGTGCCTGTTGTGCTAAGCACATTTATTTATTTTAATTTAAATAGCAATATGTGGCTACTAGCTAGCATATTGGTCAGTGCATATCTAGAATGTTAATTAATCTGCTGTCTCTTTCCCTAAAAGATACTCTGTGATTCATAGGTTGATACATACTAAAATAATCTTAATATTGAGGTCATGGATTTGTCTGTTCAGGTCTTAGATATATCTTCAAAATATAGCATGTTCTGAAAGTTTCTTTAATGTGTATTTTAACAGATAGAGTGTTCAGACATTAGCTAAACCAAAGTTTATCACGTTAAGGTCATAAGTGTTCAAAACTGCCCATCACTGCTAGTTGTCCGATAATGATAAATGGGTATAATCCTTGATCTCTCGGTGTTTTTCTTAACCTGGTAAACACAAGGACACACAGAAGTTATCAGCTGAACACAACAGATATCAGCACTTCATAGGACTTGTACATACTTGTAAAGTTATGAAGCAAAAGATGTAACATTAGAATCCACCACCTTATTACTTTTTACTTACTGCTCCTGCTATACTTTCTCTCCAAATTCAATCAGTTCTGTTTCCCTTCACCCTTGGACACCTCTCTCCTAGACAAAAATATACGTGAAGTTTTTACTCCTGTGGAATGAAGCATTTTATGACCCAAAGATGAAAAGCCATGAAAACACATAAATCTTCCCATGTCAAGCAGACACTCACAAGATACAATCATATGCCCCTATTCGGATGGAAAGACACATCAAAATTTTTGGCAAACAGGTAACATTTCTCAATGTTCTTCAGTCAAAGACCAACAGGAGCAAAGCTGTGAGCAATCAAGTTGGATTTATACTGGATACAGCAAGGGAGATCACACAGCATCGGGGACCATGGCATCTCTTGTGATGTATTAGAACATATACAGCAGAGGGTCCCCCAAGCTCTGGGCTTGGGCTGTTATCTCCTGTCAGGTCAGTGCCAACATTAGATTAGAAATAAAATGTACAATAAATGTAATGTGCTTGAATCATCCTGAAACTATTCTCCCCTCCCCTGGTCTGTGGACAAATTGTCTTCCATGAAATCAATTCCTGGTGCCAAAACTGCTGAGGACTGCTGACATACAGGATGTGGACTTTGGCTGGGTGAATTTGAGGGGCATCTATGCAAGACTGTGCTTCCCTGATACCTCAGTTGGTAAAGAATCTGCCTGCAATGAGGAAGAACTCAGTTCAATTCCTGGGTTGGGGAGATCTGCTGGAGAAGG